AATGAGACTACATCAAAATAAAAAGCTTTTTCTCAGCAAAAGAAACCATCAACAAAACAATAAGAAAGCCCACTGCATGGAAGAACATATTTGCCAATGTTATTACTGATAAGGGTTTAATCTCCAACATCTACAGGCAACTCATACAACTTAACAAAAGGAAGATAAACAACCCAGTCAAAAGATGGCAATGGACCTAAATATATACTTTTCAAAAGAAGATGGAAGGCCAATAGACATATGAAAACATGCTCAAAGGCACTAATTATCTGAGAGACGCAAATCAAACCAAAAATGCGTTATCATGTCACACCTGTCAGAATGGCTATCATTAACAAATCAACAAACAAGTATTGGTGAGGATGTGGAGAAAAAGGAACTCTCATGCACTGCTGGTGGGAATGTAGACTGGTGCAGCCACTGTGGAGAACAGTATGGAGTTTCCTCAAAAAACTAAAAATGGAATTCCCATTTGACCCTGTGATCCCACTTCTAGGAATATATCCCAGGAAGCTAGAAACACCAGTCAGAAAGGATATATGCACCCCTAAGTTCATAGCAGCACAATTTACCACAGCTAAAATTTGGAAACAGCCTAAGTGCCCATAAGCAGATGAGTGGATTAGAAAACTGTGGTACAGCTACACAATGGAATACTATGCTGCTCTAAAAAAGAAGGAATTCTTACCATTTGCAAAAGCATGGATGGAACTGGAGAGTATTATGCTAAGTGAAATAAGCCAGTCAGAGAAAGATAAATATCACATGATCTCACTCATTTATGGAATGTAATGAACAACATACACTGATGAAAAAAAACCAGATACAGAGACAGTGAAGCATTGATCAGACTGTCAAACCTCAGAGGGAAGGTAGGGGAGGGTGGGGGTAAGGGTGAGAGATCAACCAAAGGACTTGTATGCATGCATATATGCCTAACCAATGGACACAATGAGGAGGGAGGGCATGAGTGAGGGTTTTGAGGGGTAATGGAGATATAGGACACATATATAATACCTTAATCAATAAAGAAATTTAAAAAAAGAATGATCTATAACAGGATATTATAAAAATTAAGTTGCAAAATTTTTATTAAAACATTTCTTACATACCTTTATATTGGCTGGGTTGCAAAAATATTCGTTGTGGGCCACATGCCACCCACAGTTTGGGAGTTTGACATGTTTTCTCTAGAAGGTACTAGAGATATGTGTTTTTATCATCTACTTCTTAATAAGGATTTAACAGTAGTGCCAGAAGACATATCCCTATTTTTGGTATAGATAATTTGTTTGTAAGTTACAGACATTAACAAAGCTGGTGAGGGGTCCTGTAAAAAACTTTGAAAATGGGAGCTCCAGTGGTGCAATCAGTTAGCACGCGGTACTTATAAGAACTTTGAAAATGGAATCTGAGTGACAATACTGTGGCCTTATGTTCCATATCGACAATCATCTGTCATTCATCCATCCATTTATGCTAGCATCCATCCATTCATCCATTCATCCATCCATCCACCCATCCATATATCTATTCATCCATCCATTTATGCTATCATCCACCCATCCATTTATGCCATCATCCATCCATCCATCCATCCATCCATCCATCCATCCATCCACCCACCCATCTAACCATCTATTTATGCTGTCATCTACCCATCTATCCATCCATCCATTCATTTAAGCTATCATCTATCCATCCATCCATTTATGCTATCATCCACCCGTCCATCCATCCATTTATACTGTCATCCTCCTTCCCTCTATCCATCCATTCATCCATTTATGCTATCACCCATACATACATACATCTATTCATTCATTTCATAAATATTCCGTGATATTTTATAGTGAAAGAAGCCTCTAATAGATGCTGAGGTGCCCACCAAAAAGAAAAGTAATTGGGTCCCTGCCCCCTAAAATGTAGGCCTAGAAAAAGTAATGACCTTTCTTGTAGAGGTGCAGCAGGTCTCCCTGTGTCACTTGCTAAGGTAGCAGCTCCAGGTCTGTCTCCTCTCCCTCAGCACCACCTGAAGAGACTGGAGGGCCGCCGCCTGGACTACGATTATAAAAGGAGGCACGTCGGAAAGATCCCCGACAATGAGATCACACAAGCAATGGAAAAGTTTGAGGAGTCCAAGGCCATGGCAGAGAGATGCATGTTTAATTTTTTAGAAAATGATGTAAGTATTGACCCCAACCAGGAGACCCTCCTGGGAATGGAAACATTGACTTTATGTTTGAGAGGAAGCTCTGAGAGCATTTGTTGTTATAAAAGTTTCCAGAAATTTCTTTTATTTACCGTATTTGCCGGCGTATAAGATGATTTTTTGGCCCTGAAAAATATGCCTCCAAGTGGGGGGTCGTCTTATACGCCAGGTACACTTCAGATAGACTGCCCATAGTGCTTGCCCCGTGCCATAGTGGCCTCCCGATGCCCGCCCACTTCATTCCACATACCGTTCAGGCATCAGCAGAGCTGCTGGGTGTATGCTCGGCTGTTATGCGATTTTGCTGTTATGCCATTTTACCACACTCGCAAAATCGCACACAGCCAACCATACACCCAGTATGGTATCGCGATTCGTGATTTTGCGCTATCATACTGGGTGTATGGTCGGCTGTGTGCGATTTTGCGAGGGTGGTAAAATCGAATAACAGCAAAATCGCATAACAGCCGCGCATACACACAGCCGCGCTGCTGATGCCTGAACGGAATGTGGAATGAAGCGG